TGGAGAAGTTGGTGTTGAGGAGGCGATGTTTATAGCGACTGGACGTTGCACCGGTGCGTCCAGTCAGCTGAGTAGAGGAGGCGCAGCTAGGGTTCGTGACCGGACCCTGAGCGAAGTGCTCGATCGGACGCGCAGGCCTTGCGTCTGGTCGAGGATGACGTATGCTGGTGTGGGCCGGCTGCTGAGGCAAAGGAGGACCGAACCCCGCTGTGCGTCCGGTCGTGGGCGACCAGACGCGTCTGATCCTCTCCAGAACCTCTCGGTGTAGTTTTTGCCCCTGACCGGACTCCAGGCGTCGGTGCGTCTGGTCATAGGGCAGCACGTCAGGTCATGGCGCGTAGGCAGCACGGGCTCACGCGATCGGACGCGGCTTGGGCGCGTCAGGTCTCACTAACGCGCATCCGGTCATGACTTAAGCTCTTGCACGGTGAAAATCGACCGTTGGGATCGCGTGGACGTTGTTGAACGCGGGGGACACATGGACGGAGATCCGCGACCGAACACTAAGTGCCCTACGTCCGGTCAGCATGACCTACGCGTCCGGTTGTCCCGATTCCAGCATAGTGGGGGAGCCAACGGCTCTATTCGTTGGGGCTCCCTATTTAAGGCGCGTGGCCGGTTTGGACTCACTCTCTTGGTCATTTCTATTGAGAATACATCCTAGTGAGCCTAGCTATTCCTCTCTCACTCATCTAGATTGATTGATTCATCATTTGGTGAGATTGGAGAGCATTCAAGTGCATTGCTTTGAGTGATTGCATCTAGAGGCACTTGGTGATTGTGTTTCGCTGCGGATTTTGTTTGTTACTCTTGGTGGTTGCTGCCACCTAGATGGCTTGGTGCAGCGAGGATCGTCGAGCGGAGGAAGGTGATTGTCTTCGGCTCCGATCGTGGTGATTGTGAGAGGTTCTTGACATTTCCCTGGCTGAGAGCCAAAAGGTACTGTAGTGGATTGCTCGTGGCTTGTGTAATCCCCGTCTTGTGTTGGTTGTGCGGCACCCGATTGCGGGTTAGGTGTGTGATGCCTATTAGCGCGTAAACCTCCAAGTGGGTGAATCTTCACAACGAAGACTAGCTTGCCGGCAAGTAAGTGAATCTCGATGAAAAATCATTGTGTCAATTGGTATTCATTGTGATTGATTTTTGGCTTGTCCGGCTCGGCAACGATCCCTCTATCTCTCTTGTATTTACTTTTGTAGAGACATCTTGTGTCGAGGTAGCCTAGCCAGTAGAGTAGCTCTCTAGTGTAGCATAGAAGTAATTAGTTGAATTACTTGTTTAGGTTGCTCACTACTGGTAGTATTAGCAACCTAACCATTGTGTGGTATACTAGAGATAATAGAATTATAATTGGTTAGGTGGCTTGCAACACAAGTATAGAGCTAGTGCAAAATTCGCTTCGCCATCTTTTTTACTAATCTCTTGTCTTAGTGTTGTTGTAGAAATTTTTAATAGACTATTCACCTCCCCTCTAGCCACTAGGACCTTTCAGCCGCCCCATGCCGGCCACGGCTCCCTACACCCCTGTAGTTGTTGCCCGCGCTCCGGATGTCGTCCGCCGCAGCCCTCGGCACCGGGTTCCCTCCGCCGCGGCCCCCCATGCCGGCCATCCGCCGGCGCCCCCGCATCCGCTAGGCCCCTGCTTTGTTCTCTATTTTCTCTGCTCTTTGTCTTCCATTTGTAAATTTGTGAACAATTTGATGATATTTGTGAACAATTTGACATATATTTCTCTGGTGTCTGGAATCTATAGAAAAAATTGTAATTTTTTTGAAAATTTGGCATATATTTGTCTGAGATCTTGTGTTATCCCAAATTACATCACTCTATCCAATAAATTATACTAGAAAAATTATTGTAAATATAGTAGTAAGATAGTGTAAAGAGTAAATTGCACGGCCGGTCCTTAAATTATTAGGCGGATTTCGTCTAGGTCCTCAAACTACGAAATCGCACGTTTGGTTCCCTAATGTATTTAAGTGGTCTCATCCAGGTCCAAAATAGACACGAGGAGGGTTAGAAGCTGACGTGGTCATCCACGTGGACATGATTTAAGCGTGGCAAGAATGAGGAGTAGCGCTGCGCTGCTCTGCTCTTCCTCTCTGCCCTGTTCCAGAGCCCCGCCATTGATGCCAACGAGCTTCGCCCGCCAATCGCCACCGTCATCTTGCCATTGTCCGGTTCCCCTCCACTCCAGCTGTGCCAAGGCCTTCTCCACCCTCTCCACCAGATTGCGTCGCTGCTCATCCAAGGTAGAGGCCCCTCGGGCCAAATCTCGGCGCGACAGCCGCCATGGCCGCCGGACGCATGCTCGCGCGTGGTCGTCCTCCCTCGATCTCACTCTGCCCTGACTGGAGGCGCAGGCCGGAGGAGAAGAGATCACGGGAGCCCCACCGCCCCCACGGCGTGAGCAGTGCACGGGCCGGGACCCTCCGCCCCCGTCGAAAGCTGACGCCGCCCACCCCGTCCAACCCCATGTCCCCACCCCGCGCGGCCACTGCTGCTCATCTATTTGGCATTGATGCTGCAACTGCAATGCCACCGCCGCCACCACCACCACCACCTCCTCCTCCTCCATCCGCAGCCGGTCCTCACTCCTCTGTCCTCCTCAAAAGTCCTAGAAAAGCTGCCCGCCACTGTCCCAGAACAAGTGAGTGAGTGAGGGGAGCTCCAGCCTCACAGTCCTAGAAAAGCTGCCCGCCGCTGTTCCGCACGTGCGTCATGGAGTCCTTCAGCTTCCTCAAGTACCTGCGCGGCGTGCGTGGTGGCCGGCGCCCAGCGTGCGCCCGCAGTCGCAGCCGCCACCACGACCATCGCCGCGTCGGCGTGCGAGGACGGCGGGGGCGGGGACGACGACGACGCCTCCTTCTTCGACCTCGAGTTTGCCGTGCCCGGCGACGAGAGCGTCGCGTCCGACGCCGAGGAGGAGCGGGTTGAGTTCAACTTCGCCGTGGCCACCGGCGAAGACGTCGTGGCGCCCGGGGAGGCAGTGGCCGTCAATGCGCCAGCCGCGGAGGCGGAGACCGAGGCCGAGGCCGCGGTGGTCCCACCGCCGGCAACGCTGCTCCGTCCAGCCACCAGGTTCCGCGTGCTGCTGCTCAAGCTGAGAAAGCCCAAGGCCTCGACGACGGTGGATGGTGCCGGGGCTACGCAGGCGCCGAGGCAGCCGGCGGCGAGCCGGTTCCTGATAAAGTTCTGGGTGGAGGACGCGCCGCTGGCGTCTTCACGCGCGACAACAGCTTGCGCACCTCGGCCGCCGTGGGCGAGCGCCGCTACGCTTCGCACGCACGCCGCCGTGGGCATGCACTCGGACATCGCTGTCCCGTCGCGCACAGCCATTGCTACCGTACCACCGCCTCCACTTGGCCATGCGGATGCTCTGCGCCGCCGTTGCTCACACGCGCAGGCTCATCCATCAATTGCGCCGCCACCATGTTGCTGTCGTCCGACGCCTCTGCTGCCGCCATACGCCATGTCCACGCTTAAATCATGTCCACGTGGACGACCATGTCAGCTTCTAACCCTCCTCGTGTCTATTTTGGATCTGGATGAGATCACTTAAATACATTAGGGAACCAAACGTGCGATTTCGTAGTTTGAGGACCTAGACGAAACCCGCCCAATACTTTAAGGACCGGCCGTGTAATTTACTCTAGTGTAAATGTAGCTAGATGATAGTGTAAGTGTATAAAAAAATTCAGTTGATAGGAGAGGCCAAAACAATTGAATGCCAACTAGACACTTAAAAAAATGTAGTTATTTGGAATTGCCGGTCGTCACTGCCTAAGGAATCCATGTCAATATCACGTGTCAGGGACTTTACATTCATGTAATGTCTTTCCTCTCAATCAAACCAACACGTGTTTAAGAACATTTACGGAGATAAGACCTGAATTTTGTAACTTGTCGTTCTAAATCTCTTTTAACATACTCCCTTTATCTATAAATAAATCAATTCGTAAAATTATCTTTAATTATTTTTAAAATTTTAATTTATAGAAAAGAGCGCCAAGATTTATGACACCAAATTAATTTTATTAGAGACACCATAAATATGTTTTTCAGACCAGCCGGCTGCTCCTCCTCACACGCTACGGTGTATCTTTCAGCCGTTACAGTATTTCTCTCTCACACAACCAGTCGCTACAGTGTTTTGGCTTCTTTTTTCAGACAAGCGAACGGGACCAATATGCTCACAATATGTCATGAATACTTATGCTCTTTTCTACGAATTTGCTCAAACATAAAAATGACTTAAACAAGAATTAATTTATTCAGAGACGAAGGAAGAATGTATACAACAAGCTGAACAAAGATATTGAATCACATAATTTTTTATTCTCTCCATTCTAAATTATATTTTACTTTAATTTTGTTCTAATAAACTTCTCTAATTTTTACTAAGTTAAGAAAGATACAATATTAGATTATTTATGAAATATGTTTTGATAGTATATTTATTTAAACTTATAAGTGTTAAAAATCTGATCAACTTAGAGAAGTTTAACTTAGTGCATGTAAATTTTAGTTTGCGACACAAGTACTAGCCGGTAAATTGTTTCAACTTTCAAGGTCTGTGTTAGTAAATCTTTTTAAGCGAGTGTAATATTATAAAATATTTTCTTCATTCTAATTTATTAGTCGTTTTGTTTTGATTCAAACTGTTTGGCTGATGGTTTTTACGGCTAATAAGTCGGCTGTATTATGACTGATATATATAACAAAAGCTACATATTAAAAATGACCTATAATTTGAAAAGGGGTAGTAGCACACTTGTGATGCGCGAATCATGGATTTTTGCAAAAAAGAAAGAAAGTAAAAACTATGAAATATAAGGAAATAAAAGCACACTGAAAATGACCTATAATTTGAAAAAGGGGCAGTAGCACACTGAAATTTGTAGGAAGACAGAGCAACACCAACATTGCAGTAGAGCGCGCACGCACAGAAAAGCGACGAATCAAAGCATCAAGCCCTTTCTGGCTTCCTCTGAGCACCAATGGCGCGGTACCAAGGATGCCGCCAAGAACTCGGCTCCACGAACAGCAAGGCGGGGCCCATCATGGCGGTGGCGTCGGAGCAGGCCGCGCCGGCCGCCAGGTACCCCAAGGTGGCTGCCCCTACCACCGGCCCGATCCCCGCCGCCGAGTTGCTCGGAGTCATCGAGGCCGCCGCAAAAGCTGGCGCCGATGTGAGTTTCAGTTCCCTCTGTCGCTTGATGTTTCTGCTCCCCCAATTTCCGATTTTGGGGTAACACTCGCAGCTTGTTGACTAATTTGGTTGAAATGTGGCCTGTCAGTTCGCAAAGCTGCATGTTTGTTGAACCGCAATAAGAAGTGCTAGTCGTTCAGTTGATGAATCCGCTGATTCTGCTAATTGCGCTATGCTGTGCCAATTGGCAAACTACTTGTTGTAGGAGTATTGAGTTTTAGGGGTAGCTCTGGCCTCTGGCATAATTATCTCTTTTAACCAGTCATAGGCTTATAGGAGGCCAGTCTGCTAATTTGGTTTTTTTTCAGTCAAAAAATATTTGAATTTTGATATACCAAACAAATATTGATAGTTGGATACCCTAGTGCTTTAAAGTTTAAATGCTCCAAGCTCTGTAATGATCACACCATTTTTAGAAGGCAGGAAACATGTCCTTTTCTTTTAGGTTTACTGTTGATGGAGTCAAAATTTCAAGGTTTTTCATCATCTCCTATCAATTTCAGGTTATAATGGAAGCTGTTAATAAGCCACGCAATATCCAATATAAAGGTGTTGCAGACCTGGTGACAGAGTAAGAATGCTTCTCACTGAACCCTTTTCGCTTGATCGTTTCGGTGGCTTATAAGCTGGCTGATGCTGTTTTGTTGTGAGAGAAAAACACTGCATCATGGCTGATAAGCATGGCTGATACGATCAAGCGAACAGGGTAATACTTTAATTTCTATAAGATAGCAGGTATAAGATATTAGTGCCTCTTTTCATGCAGTAAAGTGAAACAGCATAGTGTTTCAATCTACTGCTCTATACTTTGTTCAGCACAGACAAGTTGAGTGAATCAGTCATTTTGGAAGTTGTCACCAAGAACTTCAAAGACCACCTCATACTTGGGGAGGAAGGCGGCCTTATTGGAGATTTCCAGTCAGAGTATCTCTGGTGCATTGACCCTTTAGGTTTGGTTCCTCACTCAGTTCCTACTGATCTGTAACCATTGTTTGTACTTTGTAATACCGGATAGCTCCAGTTTTCCAGACAATTTCTCGATTTATCGCAGCGAACCTGTGAACTTGAACAGATTTGTCCATTCTCCATTTCTTTGATTTAGAAGGTGACAGTTCTGTGTATTACTATTATTACCCCATCGAGAAAAAGAAATCAGTCCTGTGTATTATCATTGACAAGCAAATTGAGGAATAGAAAAATTAGTAAATTCATATATCTCACAGCAGTAAGGGTGTAGTTGCATGCGGGTTATTGTACCAGAAATTGATTAGAAAATTAAGTCATCATGACGGTCTCCCTCTTGGGATCTAATCTACCGAATTTCAACCTTCAGATGGAACAACGAACTTTGCACATGGTTACCCCAGCTTTTCTGTGTCCATTGGTGTTCTCTTCCGCGGAAAGCCTGCTGCTTCCATTGTTGTAAGTGTTTGAACATATTGTTCTTGAACCATATTATCTTTCCAATGGCAGAGCCACAAACAATTAGGGCATTGCACTACATATTGGAAACAGTTTCTCTATATAACTTTATGTTTTACCACTTTCTTATTTAGGTGGAATTTTGTGGTGGGCCTATGTGCTGGAGCACCCGTACAATTTCTGCATCTGCTGGTAGGTTCTCCAATCAACTACTGGCTTTGCTTATTATACTAGAGGACTCTAGAGACTTCATCTTATGTCTTTCCTTTCTCTCGAACAGGAGGAGGAGCTTATTGTAATGGGCAAAAGATTCATGTCAGTCAGACAGACAAGGTAGCCTATTTTCTCTTCTGGAAGTAGCCATGCATTTTCCTATTATGTTCATTTGTGAGTGCAAGCCTGCTGCTGCAATGATTTGTCAGGGCCTCAGGGGCCATGTGCTCAATGCATCCGTTCATAAAATGTGTTTCTGGATGTCCGAGTTAAATGTCACATAACCTGACTGTGTAATGTATATGTAAGTTTTCAAGTTATTATCTCTAATTGGTAGTCGTCAACTCATTCTCTAGGTGGAACAATCTCTTCTCGTCACAGGTTTTAGATATGAACATCATGATGCCTGGACGACCAATATAAATTTGTTCAAGGAATTTACTGACATTAGCAGGGTAAGTGTTTGCCGAACCGATTATTTATTTATTTTTTTGCAGATGTGCATATCTGAGTTTTCTATCATCCTTGAATATACCTTTTTGTTTCAGGGAGTGCGAAGGCTAGGGTCTACTGCTGCTGACATGTCCCATGTTGGACTTGGTATTACAGAAGCTTACTGGGAATACCGACTTAAGCCATGGGATGTGGCTGCTGGCGTCCTGGTAGTTACTTTTTCTCCCGTGGAAATATTAACATTTAATATTACCTTTCCAAATCAGTTTTAATAAATAATCATGAGTACAGCAGATTTAGATATCAACCTTTTTGTTTCTTGGTCTAATCTTACCTCAATCAGATATTACATATTATTGATGTAATCTAACATTTTTCGTTAAAATTAGTTACAGGGATTGCCTCTAAGATGGTAGGAACCAGTTTTAAAATACTAGAATTCTGTTCATGGCCTTTCTGTGAACAACTAAAGAGTTTGCACCTAAAAATTGGTGTTTATATTATATATCACAAACACATAAATGCATTTACTTCAATTAGAGCAATGGGCTACTCATTGAGTCTGAAAATGACAGCTTTGTTTCCAATTTAAGCATATCTTGTTTTGTGGTGTATGTTGTGCTGATATATTTGGTCACTTTTTCAACAGATAGTTGAATAAGCTGGTGGGGTGGTAACTCGCATGGATGGTGGAGAGTTTACAGTCTTTGATCGTTCTGTTCTTGTTTCCAATGGACTTGTTCATGGACAGGTTTGTTCTAAATAATTCGGGATATTGTTTCTGCCGAGAAGTTTCTTAGTGTTGTTGATTTTTTTTTGGAGCAATCTTAGTGTTGTTGATGCAAACAATAATGTTTAGTTCAATAGCCCTGTACTTTTAATGTCAATACAATGTACAGTTCTTTGACTCAAGTTTCAGAGTTTCAAGAGCCAAGCTCCTAAAAGAATACAGCTTTACAATTGAACATGTAATGTGCCCATTCCTTTGGCTTTTGGATTATTACATGTATCGGAAATTGGGATTTTGAAAGGGCCACGGCTTCTGCGTTCATTTCTACATCTAACAGATTGGTTCCTTGTGAGCTGCTTTGGCCTGCTAGGCTGCTGCTCTTCTTTGAGATACCATGCAGTGAAAATTTGTCTGCTTGTGGTTACAGATAGACAGCACATGCTTGCATAACATTAGAAATTGTGTCTCAATAAGCTTTGCATAACTGCATCGGAGATATATATTACTGTGATGCACACTGTGATAATCAGAAGATTAGCAAACCAAAACTGCACATGTTAGTTCAGTCACTAAAAGTTGCCGGTGCAGAGGTCATGTTGGTTGTCTTTTTGGATAAGAGGTCCTGAATGATAGGTCACAGGAGGCCCAGAACACAACACTGGATAGAACGAGCCAAAAGCAAGATCGAGGGAAAGATATTTCAGCTTGCTCTGCTCGCAGACCCTGCCGTTCACAGCTTCCCATCCTCTCCAAAACAGCCACAGCTCAGGCAAAAGCATGAAAGCTCAGTGATATTTTTCCTGGCTGTTTACCAGGTCTGCACACTCGTTGCCCGAGGGAGCTGGCGGCAGCCTTCGTCACCCACCCTGTGCTCATGTACGTCCGACTTTACCTCTCTCGATCCTAAGTTAAAGCAACTTTGCTTGATTTAGGTAAATTTGTGGGTATTTGTGAATTAGGGATTCGATTTTATGGTACTGATGTTTAACTGGATAATACTTTGGTTACTAGTAACTGTTTGATTGTGCATGTCTTGAGTACGGGGCCAGAAGTTCTGAAACAGCACTGTTTCTATGAATACGCTGACATGGCTTTGTCCACCGTTTTGCAGGCTAAGTGTTGAGGCTCATACATATTACCCGATTGCAAGGCCGAGATGGAAATTATGTGCCTGCAGAAACGTCTTGCAAGAAACTTCCTTGCATGATGCAGAAGTAAATTCCTACCACCGTAGTGAGAGGAAGAACAGGAAAAGGGACGGTGCTTACATTGACAAAGATGGCGTGGCAAGAACCTTCGATCTTAAGAAAATATCTAGAAAGAGGGGTAAATGACAATGCTACCACTCCTTTTAGTTTAATTGAATGCTGCAAAGCAATAGTTCTTAAACCATTTTTATCAAAAAGACAAGTCATTTTTTTTGGATTTACTGTTTCATTGGAAGTTTAAGGACATGGCATAGGTTTTAGCTCTGAATGATATAGCTTGGACATGCAGGGGGTGCTATAAAAGGCCGTGGGTGGAAGTACGGCTCTGGGTTTATTGATGGAGTGTTCCCAGTGTTGAGTCCAATGGCGCAGGATATCCTAGAATTTGTGCAGAAGGGGACTGACGTCACCAATATCTGGGAATCACTGGACAACATTCCTCGAGCACACGATCTTTGGGATGACATTGTCAATGTTGCAGTCCAGCTCCGCCTGAACCGACAATGGGAGCCGATCATCACAGTATGTCTTTACATCTCATTCTGCCTTAACCTTGGCTGATCATACCATGTGAAACTTGCAAGAGCAAAAATTCTAGCCTTTGTTACTCCTCTTGGTGCTGCTTTGATTCCTAAGGTTTTGATGTTTGATTTGTCAAGAGTGCCTATAGGTCTGTGAGTGGATCCTGTACCGGAGTTCGTTCTGTCCCGACATAATCTGCTACAACCTGCTCATAGATGCATATGGTCAGAAGCGTCAGCTGAACAAGGCATAATCGATTTACATTGCCCTTCTGGAGGCTCACTGTGTGCCCACAGAGGACACTTATGCTCTTCTATTGCGTGCTTACTGCAATTCTGGACAATTGCACCGAGCTGAGGGCGTGATTTCAGAAATGCAGAAGAATGGGCTCCCTCCAAGTATGCACCTCCTTGTATTCCTCTGTCATGACTCATGAGATGAAAAATTCTTGTCAATTTAGGATGAAAGAAAAAAAAAATCATACCAAGAACTCCCTTGCAGCTGCAACTGTGTATAACGCATACCTGGATGGTCTACTGAAAGCAAGATGTTCCGAAAAGGCGGTTGAAGTGTATCAAAGGATGAAGAAGGAGCGCTGCAGATCTAACACCGAGACGTACACCCTGATGATCAACGTATATGGGAAGGTAAGACATCTTTCCTGGTTTGATTAATGTGCAGGGTTCAAAATTCAGATGTCTGTCAGTGTCAGCATTCTGAGACAATCAATGGCCGTCGTCATGCTCATCCTTTCGCAGGCAAAGCAACCAATGTCATCGCTGAAAGTGTTCAATGAGATGAAAACGATTGGGTGCAAGTCCAACATCTGCACCTACACCGCGCTGGTGAACGCGTTCGCGCGGGAAGGCCTTTGCTAGAAGGCAGAGGAGGTGTTTGAGGAGATGCAGCAGGCTGGGCATGAACCTGACGTGTATGCCTACAATGCCCTGCTGGAAGCTTACAGGTAGAAAAAAAACCAATACCATGAACCTTGCAATTTGATGTGAAGCAATGTCATTTCATCAGTTTATTGGTGCATCACATGACAGCCGCGCAGGGTTGCCACAAGGGGCATCGGAGATCTTCTGTTTGATGGAACGCATGGGGTGTGAGCCTGACAGAGCCTCTTACAACATATTGGTGGATGCTTATGGAAGAGCTGGTCTCCATCAAGGTAGGTCATCAGCAAGCTTCATCTTGTTAATTTGGCCAGTGAACTCAAGAACATGCTGAATTCAATTTGCTGATGTTTTTGTGATTGTACGTTCAGAGGCAGAAGCGGCGTTCCAAGAGCTCCTGGAACCCGGCCATGGAGTTCGGCAACGTGGCGAATTCAATTTGCTGATGTTTCTGCTACAACCATATGAAGCTTGCTGATGTTTCTGCTACAACCATGAAGTCGCACATGCTGCTCCTGTCCGCGCACGCCAAGTCCGGCAACGTGGCGAGGTGCGAGGAGGTGATGGCGCAGCTGCACAAGTCGGGGCTGCGCCCGGACACCTTCGCGCTCAACGCCATGCTCAACGCGTACGGCCGGGCCGGGCGGCTCGACGACATGGAGCGCCTCCTCGCGGCCATGGAGCGCGACGACGACGAGGCTGGCGGCGGTGCCACACCGGACACCAGCACGTACAATGTGCTGGTGAACGTGTACGGGCGCGCGGGGTACCTGGACCGGATGGAGGCGGCGTTCCGCTCCCTGGCGGCCCGGGGGCTCGCCGCCGACGTGGTGACGTGGACGTCCCGCATCGGAGCGTACGCGAGGAAGAAGGAGTACGGGCGGTGCCTGGAGATCTTCGAGGAGATGGTGGACGCCAGGTGCTACCCGGACGCCGGCACGGCCAAGGTGCGAGCGGTGCTGCTCGCCGCGTGCTCCGACGAGCGCCAGGTGGAGCAGGTCACGGCCATCGTCAGGTCCATGCACAAGGACGCCAAGACGCTCTTCGCATTATGAAATCAACATGCTTTGGACCTCTGTGTGTGAGAATTCCAGGTATTCAAGCGTCGCACCTTTGCCGTGCCCGCCTACATGTTAATATAGGCCAGGAAAATACCCCTGACGTGGTTTACAAGATGTTGCCGAGATTGCTTGCCGATAATAGAAAAGTCTAGATCCTATTTACAAGGAAATTATCCTCCTAAAAGTATAACAATATATTCTACAGCCTTATATATCCTAAACCAGTGCAAGTCAATCTCGTCACAGTGATTACAATATATTTAAGTATCTTAACAGGCCCTCTCAATCATAACTTACATAAGTTAAGATTGTGCTGAAAATTTCGAAGTTTCTGAGTAGTGAGAGACTTGGTGAATCCATCTGCAACTTGATCATTTGTAGATATAAGTCGAATATCCAATAGTCCTTGAGCTACCCGTTCTCTGACAAAATGATAGTTCACCTCAATATGCTTTGTTCTAGCATGGAACACTGGATTTGCCGAAAGATATGTCGCTCCAATATTATCACACCAAAGGCGTGCTACCGGTGGACTTTTTATGCCTAACTCTCGCAAGAGAGTTTGGATCCAGATAACTTCAGCTGTTGCATTTGCCATAGCCTTATATTCTGCCTCTGTACTAGATCGTGATACTGTCGCTTGCTTTCTTGAACTCGAGGATATTAGATTAGATCCTAAGAAAACTGCAAAGCCACTAGTAGAACGACGATCATCCACACATCCTGCCCAGTCCGCATCAGAAAAAGCACTAACAAGTATAGAGTTTGATCTTTTTATCTTTAGACCAGTACTTACTGTAAACTTGAGATATCTCAAAATTCTTTTAACCGTTGGCCAGTGCGAGGTAGTGGGAGAATGTAGAAATTGACAAACTTTATTGACCGAAAAAGATATATCAGGCCTAGTCAAAGTAAGATACTGGAGTGCTCCAACAATACTGCGAAAACGTGTGACATCCGCTGGTCCGAGTAGTTCTCCATCTTGGGCCGAGAGTTTTTCAGAAGTAGATAACGGAGTGCTAACTGATTTGCAGTGTTGCATGTTCACACGATTGATTATATCCGATGCATATTTTTCGTGTGACAATAAAATACCATTAGATACCTTGTTTACTTCAATGCCCAGAAAATAATGTAGATCCCCTAGATCCTTCAATGCGAAATCCTTCTTCAAATCTTGGATAAGTGCATCCACAGCATCTGATGATGAACTTGTAACTATAATATCGTCAACATATATTAGCAAAAATATTGTAATATCACCTTTCTTATAGAAGAATAAAGAAGTATCAGCCTTTGATGCTTGGAAACCAATATCTTGTAATTTCTGACTCAGCCGAGAGTTCCAAGCTCTGGGTGTCTGTTTTAGACCATATAAAGCCTTATCTAATTTGCATACATACTGTGACATAGACTGCTTCTCATACCCTGGAGGTTGTCTCATATAAACTTCCTCCTCTAGAATGCCATGAAGAAACGCATTCTGAACATCTAATTGGCGAAGTGACCACCCGTTAGAAACTGCAATAGACAACACCATCCTGATAGTGGTAGCCTTCGCTACTGGACTAAATGTGTCTTCATAGTCAATACCATATCGCTGCTTAAAACCTTTTGCAACTAGATGAGCTTTGTACCTATCTATTGTATCATCAGCCTTTCTTTTGATTTTATAAACCCATTTGCAATCAATTATATTTCTACCTTTCTCCGGAGGAACTAGATGCCAAGTTTTATTCTCCATGAGTGCATGATATTCAGTATCCATAGCCGCTTTCCACCTTTCATCGTTTAAAGCTTCTTCTAGATTTTGGGGTTCACCCGTACTAGTAAAACAGCCATACCTGATTGTGCCATCAGTTCTGATTTTTGGTTGTCTAATCCCATGCTGAAGTCGTGTGACAGGCCTATGTTGCACAGAAGCCTCCGGAGTTGGCTCCACAGATGATCCGGTTGTTGGGAATTGAGTGGATGCAGGATGCTGAGTTTGGTCTTCCACCGTTGAGCTGTACTCCCTCCGTCCCGTTAAGATTGTCGCTCGGGAAGCGGAATTGTGAGGGGGGCACGGTTTTCCAACGACAAACTCAATGGGACGGAGGGAGTATGTCCCTACTGTCCTCTCGTTCGTGGCATGCACGGAGACTTCGGATGGGGCAGTTGTCTCCTCCCCATGGCTCAGCACAGCAGCAGGACACGTTTCTTGCTCGCGCACGAAGCAAGGAGAAGACGTCGTCGCAGCACGCGCTCCTGGTGCGGACAAGGACGAATCCACCTCGGGTGGTATAGCTCCTGGAAAATTCTGTGCCTGTACCATCTCAGCATCATTTGTCAGTAGGAAACTGTCATTGTTATCCAAATTTTGTGGCAAATTAACCGGAACATTAGTTAAGTGGTCATCTAATTGTTCATCCCCAAAATTATCACGCAAGGAAGAGGGTAACAATAGAATCTCAGAACGAAGCCGTGCTCCAGCATTAGGATGTAGGTCCTTAAAGGGAAATATTTCTTCATCAAAGACAACATCTCAAGAAATATAGACTCGGCCAGTGGAGATGTCGAGGCATTTGTAACTTTTATGTAGGTTACTATATCAAGAAAGACAACGCTTTGAGCGAAACTCAAGTTTTCTAGAATTATAGGGTCGAAGGTTAGGCCAGCAAGCGCAGCCAAAAACACGAAGAGATGAATAATCAGGCTGTTGATTATACAAGCGCTCAAAAGGTGTAGCAAAATATACAACCTTGCTAGGGGTTCTATTAATAAGAAAGACAGTGATAAAGGCCTTGTCCCAAAATTTTAGAGGCATGCAAGCATTAGCAAGGATAGCTAGACCCACTTCGACTATATGGCGATGTTTATGCTCTGCTGATCCATTTTGTTGATGAGCATGAGGACATGAAACATGATGAGAAATACCAATTTTGGTAAAGAAAGAATTTAGTTTCTCATATTCTCCACCCCAGTCTATTTGAACAGCTATAATTTTCTATTAAATTGTCTCTCAACAAGTTGCTGGAAATCATGGAATTTTTGAAAGACTTCGGATTTATACTTGAGTAAATAAATCCAGGTGAATTTACTATAATCATCAATGAAACTGACATAGTATTTGTTTCTACCCACAGAATCAGGAGCAGGACCCCAAACATCAGAAAACACAAGCTGCAAAGGGGCAGAAGAAATACTAGTGGATTTTGGATACGGAAGCTGATGGCTCTTGGCCATTTGACAAGAATCACATATAGATTGTTTATTTGACTCACTAGAACATGGCAATCTATTTGTACTAATAACATGCTGAGTAATAGAATAAGACGGATGGCCTAAACGACCGTGCCACCTTGATGGTGACACTTTATTGATTCCAAAAACATGTCTCTTGGCATCAATGGATGTAGAAGGAAGGGGATAAAGGCCACGTCTACATCTGTCTTGCAGAAGAGTTTTCTTCGTGTCCTGATCCTCGACAAAAAAGAAATAAGGGTGAAATTCCATAAAGGCATGATTATCAGTAGTAAAACGATGAACTGGAACTAAATTTTTCTTAGCATTTGGAACATGAAGAATATTTTTCAAGTGAAGATTGCGATCGGGGGTATGAAGAATAGATTGACCAACATGACTAATGTTCATACATGGGCCACTGGCAGCAGGGGCGGATCTACAGTAAAGTGTCGGGGTCCACCGACCCCGATGACTTCCGTAGAACCAGCGATACCCCCTGTATTCTCTCCATGTTGGACCCCAGTGAAATTAAATATTGACCCCCAACAACTGTGCAGCCCAGTGCAAAGGCCAGCAGGCCGCAAACGCAAAAGCCCAATATGAATACATAGATGAACATCGTGTAGCCAATAAACAACAGAAGCGAAGAAGCTAACAAGCCCAAAAATCATGCCGTCGATTACTCTGCCTAGACCGGCCGCCGCCTAATGCTTCGTCTTTCTGATTCAACTTCTAGGTTTCTTCCTTTGCGACCGCCCCCCTCACTACAATCAGCAATACATCCTGACGCTACAGCCTGTAGATATCGCCGTATCTTGTCGTGGCCGGCACCGGTGTGACGTTGGCTGATTGGAGCAATATCAACATGTCAGGTAAGGAAATATACGCATGGCTGCAGGCTGCTTGCTGTTATTCAATATCTACTTTAGTGTTTAATTGTGTTCACTAATTTGATAGCCAATCAAAGCACAATGGAAGGATTCTTGAAAGGAAAAAATTCCCCTGTGATGATCACTACAAATATGAGCCTGTTCGCTTGTTGGTTTCAGCCAGCCAACAGTGTTTTTCTCTCAAAAAAAACCAGCACCAGCCAGCCCAAACCAGCACCAGCACCAACCAGCGAACAGGCCCATGATTGCTTGAACTCAATTATTGATTTGTAGTTTACAAAATTTAATGATCATTTTAATGAGGTAAATTCTGAATTGCTTACCTATGTTGCTGCTTTCAATCCCAAGAATTCTTTTGATGCTTTCAAATTTGAGAGTTCGATAGAGTTGGCAAATGCATATCCTAGTGAATTGATTCAAATGAGCCAGACGATCTTAGTCTTGAGCTTCGTATTTACATTGATAATGTGTGAGCCGATGCAAGATTTGTCCAATTGGATACTATTTCTGAACTTGGTAGATTCATGGTGGATACATAAAAACATATTGCTTTTCCTTTGGTATATCGACTCCTCAAACTTGTGCTAGTTCTTCCTATAGCCATAGCATCAGTGGAAAGATGTTTTTCAGTAGCGAAAATTGTGAAGACAGATCTACGGAACCGTGTTGGGGATGAATTTATGAATGATTGTGTCGTTTGCTTCGTGGAACAAGAATTTCTCGGTGCAATCCCAAATGACGATGTCATAGTTCGTTTTAGAATTGGATGATCGTACCCGTAGAGTGAAATTATAAGAGGTAACCACTATTATAAAAAGTTTATTCTTATCTTATTATAATATTATTAATTTCGCTCCTATATATGAATCCTTGATTTTG